CTTCAAACAGTGACTCATACAAATACAAATTAAACAATTTCACATTTCTTTAACAATTTTGCTTTGATTATTTAATAAAAAGTTAATTGATCCAATGCTTTTATAATAATTGCCCAGATTATTCCATATTACTGAAGTGCATCTGTCCTTCAAATTTGTTCGGTTTTTGGTTTAACAAACATTTGTAGTTCCTTCAAATTATGGCAGCTTTCCCTCTTAACAAAATTTGATTGAATGTTTGAAGGTAACACATTTTTATGAGCTTTATAAAAAGCATGCAGATTATGATATTCAATTAACTCATAAAATTTTTAAAATTTTAATTGATGAAACAATATATCAATTTGCTCACTTGTGGCGACCCTAAGGGAGCAGCAAAATGAAATCAACAACATAAACGTGTTCTTAAATCACACAGGAAACAAAAGCAAAATGACGCATTTTAACAAGAAAAAACACATTTTCCAAATGGGAAGTTCATGTGTTTGTTTTCTGTAAGATAAAAGTCATAATTTTAAGAAATAGGAAGAGCRTTWARATGAYGACGTTGACCAGAAATGGGAGTAGRAATTTGAGATGCATTATAACYGCACTGTAAACTTTGTCAAGTTTTCAGTTTTTCTTTTGCTTGTCTGGTTGTGCGTTTGACATTTTACTTGATGCAGCCTGTTAGTTTGATGTATGTGTGTGTGTGTCTGCAGGCTGCTGAGAAAGAGCAGATGGACGAACAAGCAGAGACAGGTACTGATTTACTCAAAGCGGACTAATGAGCTCATCCGGTTTTTCTTCAGTTGTTCAGACTTGTGCATCTGAGGGTGCAGAAAACTCAGCCGTGTTATTTCACAGGGTTAAGGGGCTCGTTCACGGTCAGTGTTTATAAAGTTTTCTACGTTGAACAGATGGAGCTAATCTGTCCATGGCGAACATAGAAGAGGAGGAGGAGGAAGCTGTGGTGGTTGAACTCGAGCCGCCAAAACGCAAGAAGATCGCCACGCTGAAGGTGGAAGTCAATGGACTGTTATCCATTTTCTGGCACATTTAGTTATAAAAGAGATCAGTCTTTAAACATAATATGTACTAAATTAAACTTAGTCTATTAAAAACTGTTGTAAAAATTATAATAAGGTTTGAAAGAAGCATACATACAATAAACAACTTATATAATTAAGGAAATGTCACGGTATTTTGCAAATATGAGAGTGACAGACTAACAAGCAAATATAAAACTGTTAAAGGGATCCCTGATTACAGTAGTTGTAACATTAGACTTTATGTAATAA